TCATGAGTTACTGTGGCATATCACTCGGATTTCTATAAGTCATCCAAGATTACTGCTGTAAATAGTCATTCGAAATTTGACAAGCATAATAAGGCCTACGTCCGGTATATTATATATCTTGAGCCCCAAATTGCTGCTCGTAGCTATATTTTATTCCCATTACTGAAGAGTACAAAATTTACTCAAATTGCAGACACGTCATATATATATTATAAAGAAACAGTAAAACGGTTGTATATGGCTGAGACACTACACACGAGACTTTAAAATGCATTGTGGGTAATTTCAAAATGATGTATATTTGATTTTGTTGGACAATTTTGGAGTTTATTGTTAATCGTTATGGTAAAGGTTGTCGGTGATAATGGTTGGTAATATTCTACACCTGAAGAAAGCAATATTAACTGATCGATGCTAATAGCATAATATATATATAGGTAGGAAGATTCTCAAATATTCACAAACTTTCTATCTGTTTCAAAAATGCCTACGAACAGAGTAGAAAACATACACGCCGTGTCCAGACGACAAAGTGGAGTGTCTATACAAAGCTCTGATGCGCTGTTCTCAGACAAACAACGATTCGACGAGGTGCTTCGCAATTCGGGTTCATCTCGGGTGTTTCAAATGGTTAAAATGATGGCTATCATACTGGTGCCGATTATCACGCTGATCGTGCAGTCAGGCTTGTCAGGAAAGGAAACCTTGGAGGACAGAGATGCGGCTGCCTTGTTGTACAAATCTGTTGATATTGACTTAATCATTAGTGCAGCAGTCATTAACCTGCAGAAGGAACGAGGGATCACCGCAATGTACTTGAGTTCAAATAGAAGTAATTTAAACGCGCGTCATAGCCTTCATTCCTTGTATCCTGATACCGATGCCAAGTTGTTGGCTATGTTCACCTTGGAGTCGGGAAGCATGTGCGATGTCATTACCGCAGTCACAGGCTGTCGGGAGTTAAGCGACTTTATCAACGAACATAGACTAAAAGTGCTTCAATCATCAGTGCATCTTTCTATTGAAGATAATATTATATTTTATACGAGCATTAACGAAGCTTTAATGCAAAAAAACACAAACGCGTTGATTAAAGCCAAAGTCGGTTGGCTTTGGTCGTCCTTGGTTGCCAAATCGTCTTTATTAAGTGCAACAGACGTGATCGGTATCGAGAGAGCACTGGGAGCAACATATTATGCAAGTTGTTCGCCACTATCAACGTCCTCGTTGCGTTGGATGATGCAAGTACACTCCCAGGGACTGGCGCTAATGAGGGAAGCCTTCAGGTATTCGCCTACATTGGCAGACACGTTATATATACGCATGGAAGAGCACTATCCTCTGAACGTGTCACTGTCCATGATGACAAGCGAGGTTTTTCAAAACAGTTACCATTGTCAGGAATACGGCGCTGTCATGTCTGCGACAATGGCGGACTATTGGTTTGGTAATATGACAGAATACATTGATATATTGGCAGGAGTGAGAGTACAGATATCCGCTGACATTATCAGGGAAGCGGAATTCATCATTGAAAGCGCCAGGACAAAACTGATTACGCACATTACTCTGATGGTCTGCATCACAATACTTTGCATTTCCTTGGGTTTTTGGTACGCATATAGTATATATCGGCTTCTTTCCTCACTAACAATGTACGGTAGTAAGATAACTAGCCAAACTCGACAACTATCCATGGAGAAAAAAAAGACAGACAGGCTGCTTTATCAGATGTTACCGAGGTCAGTGGCAGATCAACTTAAATCTAACAAATCAGTCAAGACAGAGTATTACGAGAACGTTACCATATATTTTAGCGATATCGTTGGGTTTACAGCAATGGCCGCAAAGAGCACTCCGATGGATGTAGTCCAATTTCTAAACGCTTTGTATAGGTAATACAACTTACGTTTATGATATTTGTTGGCACACATATACAGAACATACAGTTTTTAAAATGTTTTGTGTGTAATGTATTCTATTGCTGGAACAATATAATAATATAATCTTTAGGAAATGAACTGTCCATGCACCAAGGATTGCGACATTCACACAATTAATGGCCACACATACGAGTACAAACAAATAAATTTCCCAAATTACATGAATAAATATATAAATAAAAATATAAATCAAGGAATCACCAAAAATAAAAACACATAATTTAAATTTCACGAAAAAGATAACTATGTACTTTCTTTCAATGATTCGCATAAGTATGTAAACAGTTAAGCTTCCAACGGTCCAATTCAAGATTGTAAAAAATAAATTCACCTTTTCAATTTCAAATATATATATTGTCGATGTGAAACATGGAACAACCAATTGGTTACATCCATCCTTGTACCTGGACTTTGCACTGAAACATTTAATCAACTTCAAAGCATTGGCAACAGTATATTTATGCGTCTGAAACCAAACCTATGAAACAAAATGTTTATTTTACGTCATCATTGTTTTCCATTATTGTGCCGTTTTTGATCATATTTAGATAATTATTTCAATATTATAACATTATATTATTCGGTAATTCGTATATTCTTTCACCAATATTTATTTATATTATTGTTTCATTATTTAAAATTTATTGCGTGTGTGTTTGCATTTAGCATTTTTTCATATTTATTTGTTATTTTTAATATATTTTTTATCTTTAGGACAATATCATATCATTCTTTCAGTAGTAGTTAATTATTGAACCGCTTTATTGACTTATTTCACATGCATAAGTCATTTTTTGGTAATTATTTGGTCACATGGTCAAATAATGACTTAATAATGGTGAAAGATTATAATAATAACCAAATGATAATATAATATTGTAAAAATGAAATAAATATGATCGACGAAAGACATTATTATGAAAAAACTGTGATAATATAATATTGACATACTAGTAAGCTGATATTGCTATAATTGATAATTTGGAAGTTTTGCACTAATTAATTGACTAATCACGCAATTGTTCCCATTGTTGGTATTAGATACGGTATCGATTTTGGTCTGAATAATTTGGAATTATTTGCGCACTTAAATATGTTTTTCCTATCGCATAAATGATAAGATCGCGGCAATGTTATAATATACCCCGAATATGACCATTAACAAACAGTGTGTGCTTACAGCGCGCTGGTCACATGATGTAGAAATAACCTTCAAGTGTTTTTTTACAAAATCGTTACTGAAAAGAAGAATACGAAATGCTCCTGTTGTTAGCAACGTACTTAGCTTGTTAACAAATAATAAGAAAATCTTTCCAACTGAGAGTTATACTGTCCTTTAACGAATATGTTTTATAGTTCTGTGGTGTTAGTTTTCACATATCATGAACAATACAATTAATTTATACTGGTGTTACTAAGGAAAGGATTCATCAATGGTATATTAAGTCTGTAAAATGACAGAAATGGATTACGTGGAGAGACCGTTAACCGTACTGGTTGACCAGGTCACATGGACAGTCATAACCCTAACCCTTCCCGAGGACGGCGTAAGATATCTGGTTAGCTTTAATACATCATGCAACGTTACTGTTGTCATTGATGTATAGTCTATGTCCGGTGAGTTGTGTGCGGTAAAGCTGCTTCGAGATACAGTTATTGTTTCTTGCGTGTAACATAGTTTATATGTTAGCGTCGTAAGCTGTAATAAATTGTTTTTATTTTCGTAATAATGTAATTTAAATAAATAAAAAACGTAAATTCGTAGACATGGGCAAGGTGTAAAATGTAATCAGCTATTTTATTCGTCCGTTATTTGTACAATGATATTATTTTTTTGTAAGCGTATAAAGAATTTTCCGAATAAAATGTTGCAATTCGTACGCAATTTCCAATTTTGATTCTTAAACACAAATTATCAAAAATATTATAAAAATGTAAAATGTAATTAGGAATTTGCTATATCTGTAAAGTGTAAAAAACTATTTTGTACTGTAAATGAAACTTTCATTTTATTTTCTGTAAAAACGTAAAATGCCGTTTTTATTTCCTGTAACCTGTACCAGCTATCACCCCCTTGACCCCCCCCCCCCAATAGAGTAGAACACATTACATTTTATCGGAACAGTCGCACTGAGTCGCATACCGAACAAGACGCGGCGCGCCGACCACCTCCCTTTAATATGCGCTCATTAATGTAGTTCACATAGTCGCCATACATATACACCATACCCGAAAACCTTCGTTCTTTTCAAGGATATTAAATACATCTGACAATAAGTTCACGATATCACTCTCTGCACGGGGTGTCCTAGAATTTCAAAATAAGATTTTGCACTTTAATTCTTCCATGCGCAAGACAAATTTATATATCTGTTATGCGTTATATTTATACAATATACATGTATTAATATCATTGTCTCAAGACAAGACACCACTCCGTTTTTCTTTCATTTTTATTTACATATATGTTTTTAACACGGATATGTTCATGTATTCCAATATGTTCCAACCCTCATCGGAATGACCTTTTACGAATTAGAAATCCATTTCAATTTGACATAAAAACAGTATGTATTTCGAGACCACACGCTGACTCTTCAAAGGACAGGACGTTTGAACGCCTCATCGCTTTGCCACAATTTCCGTGTCTGTCGATATCTATGTATATTCATCTCAGATTACAGACTACAATTTATATGGCCATGGCTCTAATATATTAACCAGTGTTCGCACTGGCATTGAATGTACCGGCAGTTAATTTTTTGAGAAGCACATCTATCAATCAGACGTTACGTTCTAGTCTCATAGACACAGTATTTTGATTCAGAAGTAGCAGAACAGGGGCGGATACAGGATTTTTTATGGGGGGTCCAAACTTTAAAATCGACAGACTAAGTTAATGATTTTTTTATATTATACAAAAACAAATTGAATAATTTTTTCAACGGGGGGGGGGGGGCGGACCCCAAGACCACCCTAGATCCGCCACTGCAGAACTGTCACTTTACACAAGACACCACTGATTATATCTGAATATATCGCACTGATTAATCACGACCAAGTCATACATGTACTAGGTCAACTATTTGATCATGCTGCATCGGAAATGAAGTCAACTATTAGATCTCCTATCCGGAACCAATCACAACCAGCGAGGTGATATACATATCGCACACGGCTAAACTAGAAAAATATATCGTATTATCGTGCCTGTTTTTGTTCATATTATTATATCTTGTTAAATCTAAGTTGTAGTCCTCAAATCTAAAAGCTGCATGTTTGTTACTTACGGTTGATACGATAGGAAATCACTTTGGTGTCTAGGAACTACAGACTTACATCAAACTTGGCAAAATATGGTAATTGTAATCTCTAAAAGCCTAGCGATATTTTTTTCAATTTTCTAGTGTGACTATTGTAGTTCAAGGAGTTCACGTAACAATATTGTATATTTTAGAGATATTTCAGGTATATCTCATTAGGAATCGATACAGACCAATGGTTGATTCCATTATTTTCTAGTTCAATGATTTAAACATGTAAAATAAAATATCAACTTATCAGTACCCTCGGTAAAACTGGAAAAATACAGCGCTATCTATATATACACTAGAACCTATATGCTAGCAAAATTTGCCCGATCTTAATTCAAAATGACGTATAATTATGATTTAGACACGATGATGAACATTGAATGTGTGAATATACATGATTGCCGACAAATTGCTAGCAGTAAAAGACCAAATTGGATTCAATATAATATCATGATGGTGCAATCAGTATCATCTAGCCACGACTGTATAAGGAAATATAAGTTCGATTTCGCACATTGATATTTATGGGCGGGATATTTCTGTGAATGCACGAACTTAGCTCATAGACTATTTATTAAATTGCGTAATAAGTCTAGAGCCATTAAAGTACATCGATCTAATCCCAAACTAGCGAACGATTTACAAATTATCACAATACTATGATATGTGTAAGGTGATTGGTCGATGGGGATTAAAACATTTTTGGGAGCACTTTAATCCTTAATCTACAAAAAAAACGTGATATAAATACACCATTTTATCACATGCATAACGTGCGTTTCTCAACAGAGTGAATAATCATGGCAAACCGTTCTGGATCTTTCTTAAAACCTAAACATATTGTTCTTGTTTCAAGGGCAAATTAACTCATATTGTACACGTGAAATGATAACGAGTAGAATTGGCAAAATATAAATCTCCGGACAAAAACTTCCAAGTTTGGAAATCAAGGAAAAATTAAAACTACATGTAATAATTGCGCACACTCGACTGATCGTAGGGGGAAGAATACACTGAATGGAAGCATAAATTCTACATAGGCCCATGATGAAACCTAATTGAAGTAATTGGTGGTGACTCACTACAAACCTCAGATTTCACTGTTAGTCTGAGCACTAACACATCCAATCAAATTCTGTTGTTGTTTTTTTGTACATTGTTATATCAATATCACCATTGATCACCAAACAATTACATAGGGACATCAAACCGCCAAAAGATATGTGGAATATTTGGCGCATATATTCTTGGCCCGTTCATGGTGTGCAGTTTGGCTACAAAACATCGTAACTAGTATGAGGAGGTAATTCTTCTCTCTGGGTTCTCCACACGTGTCAGGGGTAAATCTCGTCTCGTCTCTCTATATCGCGTCCCCTTGAGGTACGGGATCGGGAAAGTCACTTAAACTTTACAGTCAAATAAGACGCATACACCGAAATACGTTTCAACTCTCGCCTTAGTCGGTCTATAAGACACAGTGCCCTGGGGAAAAGTCCCCAAGACTATCGCAAGGTTGACCCAAGACTGCCTCTAGACTGCGTCAAGACTCGCCCCAAGACTCTCCAGGACTGCGTCTGTCCCGGTGTACTCGCCAAGACCAACTAAAACAACTTTATTCACCTTCATAACCTTAACCAATTACAAAGCAGTATAAAGACTATATGGCGTAACCTTCAATTATACAGCCAATCATACTAAGTAATAAACACGTCATATCTTTTGATTAATCGTTCACTACATTAACAACTGCAAATACCAACTGTCAGAAATAGTAGTCCGAATAGCGACGGTTATCTCGTAATTAGTTCCAAATCACTGAGCCAATTCCCATGCAGGACCTCGCATAGGCCTAAACGATGACAGACATAACACAGCCATTCACTCGTAATCAGCTAATTAATTTGATTAACAGATACGCAAAAACAATTTCATCATACTAGCACATTTCCCAAAGCACCTCACCATGATTCCAGTTGCCATATTGCCCTGAATATACCCTCGGCCCACCTTTAAATTTGACAGCCCAATTCAGTGAGGAGTGGCGTCAACTTATTAATATCCGCTCTTGACTAGTGAAAGTTTAAATAACACAAACAACTAAACGCAACCAAGCAGATTACAAGAAGCTGTAACATCAGCGGTGAAATGGAGGTGGACCCTAAGACACATAGATCCAATAATTGGCGTCAGAATTGTTTAAAAAGAAAAAAAAACACTCACTGCTTTGCGGATATCAAGAGTCGTACATGGACATACACAAATATAAATAAATAAATAAATAAATAAATAAATAAATAAATAAATAAATAAATAAATAAATAAATAAATAAATAAATAAATAGACAGACAGACAGACAGACAGACAGACAGACAGACAGACAGACAGACAGACAGACAGACAGACAGACAGACAGACAGACAGACAGACAGACAGACAGACAAACAAACAAACAAACAAACAAACAAACAAACAAACAAACAAATAAATAAATAAATAAATAAATACAAAGAATAATGAAGAAAAAACTTGTTACATGTTATTTTTCATTACGCATTATCGCCGGATTTCTGCTGGTCTCTTACAGTACCTTTGACGAGTGCATTGACCGATACGATGTTTACAAAGTAGAAACCATAGGCGATGCTTACATGGTTGTGTCTGGCTTACCAGGACGCACTGACCTGCATGCATGGGAGATTGCGAGTATGTCTCTGGACCTATTAGAAGAAGCTAAACATTTCATAGTTCCACATCTACCTAACGAAAAGTTGAGCCTTCGTATCGGCATTCATACGGGTAAGTTTGTAACACCCCGGTCAAGGATAGCAACTGTGACGTCCAATATTGTTGTCACGATTGTAGCATTTATAGCATTTTTAATAGTGATGTTGCAAAAACAGGATGTATTATTCATTTTTAAACGACGTCTACAGTAATATAAACGATTTACAAATATGTTTAGCGAATTGGCATTTTCAATGCTAATTTGGCTACTACTAATAAAACAAGATAGAAAAGAAACTAAACTAATATTCGTATGTCTTCATGATGATACGGATATGTCGTTATCTTCTAACTACTAGTATCTCTTTTAAAGGTCCTTGTGTGGCGGGCGTGGTTGGGCTCAAAATGCCTCGTTTTTGTTTGTTCGGGGACACGGTTAACACGGCTGCTCGGATGGAATCAACAGGACAAGGTACAACGAGTGCAATTTTGTGAGCTTATTCATTTACCGTACTCGACCGCGTTAGCGCCCAGGGGCCTCAACTTAGAAAATCGCGATTTTTTTAGGGGTGGGCGCTTACCCGAGCCATCCCCTCGAAAAAAGTACAAATGAGATATATATATGTATACGTGTTCAACGTACGTATTGTGTGATGTTCAATGGTCCAGTGTACAGTCAGTTTATCGACACACTGTATATAGGTTAGATTTACCTCAAATAATTCATTAACTGTAAAGAAATGAAGGGTGCGAGACCATTCCATACAACACTGTCAACTCATATCTAGTAAAGGCTCTATTGAAATAAACTTCTTTTGCAAATCAATTTATTCGGTCGCTTACATGGCGGATCAATTTTATTTCACCGGATCTATTGATTCAATGTGATTGAAAACATACGAGGACTTCAGTTTTTCCATATTTGCCAATAACTGACGTCACGGACAGAACACTAGAATTAAGGTAGCTTATTAACAACTTAACATGCACATATTTACTTGCATTTTGTAAGACCGTTGTCAGTTCTAATAAATTGTCATGATGAGGTCACACATTATGTTGACAGAGAAAACATCAAAATGTTATGTGATGTTCTTATCATATAATATATGCATATATGGTCAATTACAAGATCCATGTTCTTAGTTACATGAATAGCAACGGCGCTCTTAATCCGTGAAGGTTTATACAGTGTAGAGAGAACTTTAGCGAACATTCCCATTTACGTGCTCTAATATTGATTGCTTTCAAATTTATGGCACTTATAGTTGTATCTCTATATTTTTCAGCTCTCAGGATTCATATAAGTGAAAGCACTAAAGAAGCATTATGCAGATATCCATTGTTTGTCATAGAACAACGCGGAACTATCGATATTAAGGTGAAGAATGTAGCTATATGTTTAGCATATATTGAATGTGTGACACTATACTATCGAATTTCTGGAAATTACGATTTTACGGTAAATGTAATTTAATGTAAATGTGATAGTATTAGGTCTTCAACTTAACAATTATATTTTGTATATTTAAAATTCTCGTCAATAATATTCAACTTTGACCAATGTGTGACTTGCACTGTGTATAACATCTCTATTTTTTGTGTTTTATCCACAGGGCAAAGGTTTCATGCAGACATACTGGCTTAAGAACAAAATAGAACCCGAAGATCATCATGTTGAGTGGGCAGACTAGTTATAAAAGAGCTCCTCAATGAAAAGCTTATTATATACAGTCATTCACATCGTGCAATATGCAGAGAAATTTTGTATTGGCAAACAACAACTCAGGTCATATATTCAATTTCTACCTCATTTAAAAAGTATACATCAAAGTCAAGATCAAAGTCTCTCGATTCAATAATTTCTTCAATAAACATTACCTGAATATTATTGATTCTCATTACCATTATCAAGTGTTTTGCTTGAATTACAGAAAATCAGCGTTTGTTTAAACCATGGTTATTCAGTGACGTCATATTGTTTCCACTATGTCATAAATAAAGCATAGAAATAGTCTCACGGTAAAGATGGTCCTAAGGACACACAATTAAATCAACACGTCAAATTATTTAAAACATAGTATATATATATATACAACTCGCGTTTTAAATTCAATAACCTAATGCACCTTATAGTGTATACCGACGTATTTTGATGCGGATGATAATTTTCATACAAGATTAAAATCACAATAGTTGAATGACACATTTTCATTATTTTATTAATAATATCAAAGCTGTAAAAGCCATTTAACCAGCGATTTCAGAAAATTATGATTATCTATGCGGAAAATGCAACATGTTGTACAAGACCGGCAAACTGTTGCTGCCAGCTAGATAAATTAAAAGAGAATAACACGATACAGGTTCATTTTGTTGACATGAATTTCTGTCGTTGTTTGAGACAAGTTGAGTTGGTAGACCGATTGTTTTAGATATTCATGATACCAGAGTAGACACGTGTACATGCAGTCTCGTAATACATATGTAAATAATATAAATGTGCGATACATAAGTAACAATATTCTAATGCCAAACATCTACTTAGGTTTTATAGACTAAGTACTGAATGAACTTTTCAACTATGTCTATAAAACGCATTGTGACATATTTTGCACAGTCATCAAGTAACCCACATTGTTGAGTAAATATCAACTGAAAATGATATATGTATGTGACATATATATTGTATAAACATATTATTAGTCATGGTCAAAACTTAGTTTAATAGATTGGATGAAAGGGGACAATGTATTTTTTGATTATCATATCTCACTGTTATTACGCATAGTGTGATTGACATGACATTGAATAAAAATGGATATTACATGGTATATTGCCCGCTAAATGGATATTACATGGAATATAACATGGATGACGTCACTGAAACTATTGCCCAACGATAATGGGCCTAACAATTTGTCGAAAGCTTTCAGGGTTGCTTTCGGGGTTTTTGAGCAACTTTACTCTTCCGAAATAGACAGCTAACGTGCCAGAATGGATATTAGGTAAAATACTCCGTTTTTGATGTTAAATGTATTCTTTATCATCATTATTAAATGTATTCTGTATTATCAACACGGAAAGTGACTTGCAACGTATTATATAGATCTAGTTCGAGTTGACGCCTAGCGTCCTGTTACCAATGTTACGCTGTTGATGGGGGACAGCCGATCTTTGATAAATTTTGTTTCTAAGTCGTATAATCTAGAGTCGTTTCAGGCTAATATTGCTAAAAATGATTTTACTATATTACATTGTAACATTAGGTCTATAGGCGCTCATTTTGATGAGTTCTTATCTTTTTTGACGTCGCTTGAATTTTGTTTTCCTATAGTATGTTTATCTGAAACTTGGTTGTCAGAAAGTTCGCCTGTGTCTGTTTTCCAAATTCCTTCCTATAATTTTCTATTTCAAAACCGCCGTGAAA